GTTAAAAATTTTATAATTGTAACTTAGAATTAAAAGAATTGATATTAAAATTAATCTAGTTCTTAAAAGCTGTAAAAGAAATAATTAGATAACTCCGGTATATACGCTGTACTTAAGGAAAACTTAATTTATCGAGTACTATTTACTATGTAGTGCTCGAAATTAGGGCGATAATAGTTACGAACTGATGAGTTTTAATACATGCAATAAGATTTCGATTATCTATGGTTCTGTGCAATAATCACAAAAAGGTACGCATATCGAAAATTGAAAGCTACTCCCATGCGCTGTTTCTCAGTGTTCGTTGATTATTTGTCATTTACACGCCCAGTGTATTTGAAAATTTGTTGTTGTATTTTGGAAATTTTTTCTTTGCAACAAGGAAATGCATGTTTGCTCGAATCGTTGTTTACTGCGGCACGTGAGGAACGCAATTACTTTTAACCCTTCGAGGCCACACCTTTTTTTTAATACGTCCCGGCCACACTGAGGTAGTCGCCACCCCAGACGGATTCAAAGTCTCATAATTTAAATTAATACACGTAAAAATTCATGAAACATCTTAAGGGTGTTGTTCAAAAATATGTATGTGTGGTGCAAGAACCCGAAATGTGCTCGATGAATAAAAATATTTAATAACCAAGGTCACACTACCGGGGTGGTCACTACCTCTATAATATTTTTTAAATGTTTACCAAACATAACTAACATGGCTTAAAGCCTTCCTACTGTATAGATTTTTGACAGGGACCCAATTAGGGATTCTCTGGGTGGAGGGACATTGATTATAAAGCCTATCTTAAAAATATCGGGCCCTGAATTTTTATTGGGGTGGCCGCCATCCCATGTGGCCTTGAAAGGTTAATTTAAGTTTTGCATAGTTTTACAAGTAATTTATATTCATCTGTTACTAACATAAAAAAAATCTTATTATTCCATAGAAATAAAAGCATATGAAGAAAAGGTGATTACTTAATATAATATACTTTTGTTGAGACAAAGCAATATCCTCAGGCTTCTAAGATAATTAAAAAATAAAGTTATTTTAGAGTGATATCCGATAACGCGCTATGGCGTGAAAACATTATTTCTTGTCCCTAAATATTTACATTTAAAAAATGCTATTTAAACACCGGATTCATTTTTTGTTTTTAGCGTAATGTTGTTTTGAGATCGAATTGTTTTAAGTCTAAATGACTTTACCTATTCTCCAGACTTTTCACGCAGTTGTTACTCGCAAAGAAGTTTATTAGTCAAACAGAGCGATCAAATATCGGAATCGTTTCGGTTTCACAGTAGTTTATTATCAGCAATAAATTAACTTACGCAAATTATCTGCGATCTGCTATTTTCCCTTCATTTCTACTTCAATTTATTATGTACATAGTAATGAACAAAATTACGCATAAATGAAATTAAATATCTTACCTATTATCAGTCAACATTTAATGAAATATTTAGCATTAATTTCTTGTTTTAAACATTTTTTAGAACATAGCACGGGTGTATCCTAACAACAGGTAAGACAATCGAAAAATATTGATTTTTTTTAAACTTGTATTCCTCCCTCATTTCCATTTACAAAATATTTTTCTTTTTATTCTTTCTTTTATTTTCGAACTAATGACATTCTTATTGTGCAAAATGTAATAAACGTTTAATGTGTGGTGTCCCACCCTGCAATTCGATGCCCCGTCTACGGCCAACAAAAAGATTTAATAAACCGCGCAGAATAACTAGGTCGCGTAATAATGACTCTTAGGTGAGAGATTTAGGATCGGAGATAGTGGAATACAAAAAAGGATAGGAAAAAACGGCAATTAAGCATAAAATAAATATATCTTTGTTTTATGGCGTTATCAATGTCGAAACAACGAAATAACGATGTTAATGTTATTGTTACAACAATGACACAATCAAGACTCAAGTGCTTTCTCAGAAAGAAATATATTATATTAATTTGTTTATATCAATTTTTTATATTAATTTGAGACTACTCACTTGAACTTCTTAAAACGTCTAATAATAAAAATCTATTTTTCTCTTTTTTTTGTCACAAAACAAAAGTAGATAGTATATTAATTACTGCAGTTATCACTCGCTCCGTATTGTTTCCCTACAGAAATGTTAATCTAGCAACGACCCTTCAAAGTATTCGTGGAACGACGTAGCCTTCCGATTTGTCTCTATACGTCATGCTCCAAAGAATGACGAGACGTTCTTACCTACTTGCGTAACGCTTAATCGTCCGACGTTGCGGGAAAAATAGAATTACGGTCATGGAGTTGTACGTCAACTCACCGATGTGAAGAATGCATCGCAATCCATTCGCGATCTCAGTTTCATTTCGGTCTTTTTAGCACAAACTGTCGCATAATAAATAGCCTGCAGTGGGAAATTTCGCATGTTCCTCGTTTACAAAAAGAGTACATTAATTTTTCAGAACATCTGCCATGCTTTGAAAAAATCTCCCTTCTGGAAACTTCTGATACGCGATGCATTTTTATGCATAAGTATCATTTTTTGGCGGAAAATTGGAGTTGCGAAAAATGAAATTAATATATTACAGGTATTGAAATATATTATATCGTCTTTCTAAAGAGTATAGAAGAGATCTGCCTGCTTTCCGTTTGGAGAAGAAAGAAGGAGAGAGGGGAAGCCGGGGAAGAGAAAAGCAGTGGTGGTCGAGAGAAAGACACAGGGGCGAAATGGGAGACAAGAGACGGGAGACGGACAGAGAGGAACAGGTGTGTGTGTGTGTTCGTGTGCGTGCGTGCGTGCGTGTGTGTGTGTAAAGATGGAGGAAAGAAAGACCAGAGTAGAGAATGAGAAAAGCGAATAGAGTGAAAAGAAAGTAAGTTGTATGCTGTTAACTGTTATAGTAGAATGGAAATTGTAAATTGTAAAAAAATGTAGAATGTAAACGCATGTGAAGGCGTATGCGGTGAAAAAAGGCGAGCGAGAGTATAAGGAGAAAACGCGCAATGGAGAAAGAGCGGTAGGTCGAGTGGCAAAGACTAGGCGAAAAGAGAAAAAGAGAGAAGAATAGATAGATAGGCTAAAGATCAGTGTACATACGTGTATGCTGGTAAAAAAAGTATTCTTTCTGTACCCCGCAAAAAGGGCAGAAATACAATTACTACTACTATTTATAGTACTTATATTGATCCTTCTCCTTCTCTCGTCGCTCTTGCTTTTTCTAAGGGATCTAATGTTCAAATAGATAAATTATTCATCAAGGTTTGATATAAAGCAATCAGTTGAAGTAACCAGATAAACGTAGTGATACATTTTACAAGAAAAAGAAACAAATTTGGAACTGTTCGTTTATACAATGATTTATACTCATCCGCATCTAATTTATTTACGAAAAATAATCCGACGCACATGCAAAAGCCTGTCCAGATGAAATGCTGACGGCAGTTTTCGCCTAAGTGAATTTTTTCGGTCCACTTATTACATTTTATGTGACATTTTGTATGCGTTCAGGATTTTCTATTGTTGATTCCGTGACACGAAATACGAAGGGTGCCATTCAGGCTCGAGAGTGCGGCATTGTTATATTCGTGTCAGCAAAGATGGTTTTTTTTAGGGTTGGCTGCTTACGGAGACGTCACGTCATGCTCGATTCTCTCATTCTTAATAGGCTTTGCTAACGTATATTTGGTCGTTTATATGTTGGTGGCAAAGATGAGCTGATTTTGCCGACAAGCCTCTTATATCGCCGTGGGATAGCACAGTTTTATTACTCGGTGGCAAATCACCCGCATTCCAATTATCTTCTCTGAAAAATGGATTTATTAATTAGGCAAACAATATATTTTGCACAAAATTCTTCCAATTCGTATACAGTTAATGTTTGAAAATTCGGAAAATATTAAAATTAGATGTACAATATTGGCAATATAGTTTGCAAGAATAAAAAACTTGTTATGCTTTAAAGTATAAGTAGACAAAGGAAAATACAATAGAATGTTTACGATAGTCGTACAATGCATTGTATTTGCAGGCGTAATATGACTTCACTCTTTCACACTTTCGAAACAAAAAAGTATATTACTATTATAAGCACATAGTTGTAAATATAAATATGACGTGACTGAATTACATTTTTAATTGTTAATTTTTTACTTACCCCTTTCCGAAATTATGTTCTAATGTCGCCCGAAATACGTTTACGTCAGTATATATGGATCACCAGACTAGAGTCAAGCTCAACAGAGTTTTCTTTTCCCGCTAATTTTTTCAAGCCCGTTCCCTTGGCAGTGGTTTCGCTAGATAGTAGATAGGGACAGTGGGAATCTCGTTAATCAGTATATATGGTGCGTCTGAAAAGTAAATTATCGCGATTCGTCGTGCCAGACTAGAGTCAAGCTCAACAGGGTCTTCTTTCCCCGCTAATTTTTGCAAGCCCGTTCCCTTGGCAGTGGTTTCGCTAAATAGTAGATAGGGACAGTGGGAATCTCGTTAATCAGTATATATGGTGCGTCTGAAAAGTAAATTACCGCGATTCGTCGTCTTATACTCACCGTATTATTCCCTTCATGTGCAAGCGTACTCCTTTGCCACAAAAAGAGGTGCCGTACGTTACTACATACATATAGTATATATCTAGATCAAGTATTGAGAAGTGGGGATCGTCAAATATTAGACAGAGATAGCATGCTTTGTCACCATTCTATCTTTGTCTGATAATATAATGTTTGGAGTGGTAATTGTACAGCAGCTATATACCGCTTTCTATTTTCTGAAGCGTTTTAACAATGGGAAACGGTAAACCGGGCGTCTATTTATTATACGTTTATGTATGTTACAGCCTAAAAAACGGAGCAAGCCTCTCTAAACCGTTTGTGGATCACGCTCATGCGCCTTCAAAGTGATTACGGAACGTCGAAGGTGTACGAATGGGACGATGACGACGGCGGTGACGGCGACGATGGCCGGTAATGTGCAAGGCGTGAAAGAAAGAGAACGGACAGAACTCAGTCTGACCGCGCGCGCCTGCGATCACTGTCGACCGTTGTTCTCGGCGGCTAAGACACGGCTCGAGTATCAAACTTCCGAATCTTGCGAATCAATCAAACATCGTGGAAATCTGTATTTCTATCACATCCTCGAACTATCCTTCTCTACCCCCCGTGCATCTCGTATAAGTGATAAAATTTTCTAAAACCAGCCAGTTTTCTAATCTTTCAATCGTGTCTTTGATCTATAAAAAAAAAAGAAAAAAATAAATGGCAACTCGAGACTGGCGAATTGTACGGTGCTTGCCAAAACTGAGCATGATAAGAAAATTCTAGCTTACTGTTGTTTCAACTACCACAGTTTTAACCGCTCGCCTTTAAAAAATTCAGTGCAAATAAACGGAGAACGTGCTTCAGAGACGAAGCACGAGTAATTTCGAAGTAAAAACGCTTCCTTTTGTGCACAAATTTAACCAAAGATACGACGACAGACGAGGTACGTATATCTGTTAAGTAGCCAAATTAAAAACTTTCAGAAAAATAAGCTCAATCACGAAGTACTAAATAAATACTTTCATTTATTATGTAATAAAAATAATCATCCTTCTTTTCATCTATCATAAATATCATGACGTTTGTTTCTAATTCCTCTATTTTTGTTTTTCATTTTTATGTTAAATTGTCAATTATATTGCCAGTTAAAATCTTTGATTTTGCAAAAAATATGTCCGCGAAGGAATTTATTGACTTTGCTGGCTGTAAACGAAGTAAAATGCTACTATTCACGTTTACCTAATCCACTTTCGCGGAAAAGCTGGAAATACATTTTACGATCCGCCCAGAAACATTAAAATAGTTCGAAGCATATATAAAAGCATGAGAGCCATCGTCGCGGTTCGACGTCGCGCGAGAACGAGAAATAGATAAACGATAATTAATCTGGTGAACGATGCCAAGAGAGAGATCGGGAATCGCACGCGACGCACGAGATTAAACAATGCAAGATGCACTCGGGAGTCTCGTGTATAATTCTCGAAGAGAAGAGATGCCACACGTGAACGCCCAAGAGAAAGCCGAACCAATAAATCACGATGCTAGGTCCTCGCACGTGCACGAAACAGACTAATATTAGACGAACATCTAAAACGAGATAAAAAGTTTCCTACACTCCTCGAAATAATGCAAGTTTATATGTAAAACGATCTAATTGGCAAGATTCTTTGTTACAATTATCTATAAATATCTCTCTTTTTCCTATTAAAGTACGGATTCGAATCTCTTCTTGTCTTTTGCATGCAGAACAGACTACAGCTTAGTTTCTCTTTAGTATTTGTGACAAAGATTCTCTTTTACAAGCGGATATCAGACTCGCGAATGTTACACGCAAGAAGGGTCGTATTTAAATTCCTTGATCATCCATGAGCGTTTTATTGTCGGATTGATGTATTCCGAGTATTCGCGAGAGATGCGATGAATTCTCATGAAGCGCACGTCTCCTCCGCCGGCGGAGAATTAAGATTGGCTAAAAACCGAGCGGCGAACGTTTAACTCGCTCGTTAAATACAAGTTAGAAATGAGCGCTAAAAAGTCGCGTAATATGGTCCAATTATTTGGCAGACTTTAAGCAGAGTACTTATTTGCAGCACGACTAATAAATTTTGCAAAAGTAAATGAGTAGTCCACAGACCTAGGATAATGAACTTAGGCATCTTCCAGATGTTAATTACTTTGATGCAAAATTCAATTTTTTAAATTATTTTTTATAATTCTGTTATATTCGCTTGTAAGTAGACAGTTTTCTGGATAAAGAAAAATTTGCTCCATTTTCTAAAAAATAAACTAAAACTAAAAAGAATAAAATTTGTTCGGAATAATCACGTACTGACAATAAGTTCGTGACCGCTTTTACTTAAATATGTATTCGATATAAATAATCTTATTCCATAGTTGTTCTCTTATGCGAACAGTCGTTAGCAAATTAACAATATGCATTAATGTTCGACAATTGACACATTACCATTTACAGACAGTAACTGTCTTACGTTACCGATCACGAGTCGCAAAACCATACTACCATATTCATCTACCATCTACGCGGTATAACCGTTATGCGACATAAATAGGCAAGATACGCACGCTTGCGACAAACCGCGATCGCGCATTGTCTATGCGAGTTATTCCTGCGGCGATCAGCTCACTAACAATATACTGCCGTTAATTTGTCACTGCCATTCAGTCGGGTAGATCAGGGCTGATTAGAAAACCTGAACGCAGAGAGCACAAGCCTAGAAAATGTATGCGACGTTGACGCAACGTGTAGACGCGTGCTTAAAATTCTTTATGTAACATTCTATGTGACACAGATTCGAGATCACTTTTTTCTCGAAAGCCGATAGACATAAACGCATCACAGATGTCCGAGAATTATCATTCATTTCCCATAACAATCATGCGATCACGCAAGACTCTCCTAAAGAATTTCACTTTCATTCGTTTACCAAAATTGTGGTTATTAAGCTCAGCTTCACTCGCTGCAGTTGCACACGAAACAAATAAATTGCAGATATTCTACTACGAGTTAGACAAGACTTACGAAGACAAAATGCACTCTTGTTGATATACGCATATATTTCTACATTATGGCTTTTGCAAGCTTCACAATATTTGTATTTGTGACTTTATTGTCTTACGCAAGACGTAATCGTGCGGCGAGTTCGATAGCGCTATGCGAAAGGGGCTTTCTATGGCAGAAAGAAGTGCGACGGTGCGCGCGGTGTCTTATTCCGATTCGACAAATTCTCTCGTACGATTTCCAATCCGATAGAATACGACGGAAAGATATCCGGCAAAAAATAAGTGCCTCGTTTTCCTCAATAAGATCCATCAGATTCCCGGTATAACGTGTGTGATAAGATCTGGTATAGACAACAAATAGGGTCGCGCAAGTTCCTCTCTACATCTCGCATATTTTCCCGCAAAGGCCATAAATTTTTATCGTGTAAACGCACATTTAAGCGTGCGTTGCATGCCGAAGCACGCTTCAAATGCAAATCAGCGTCGTGACGTAAAGTCTAACATCGCATAATCCACGTTCTCTTACGTTTTTCCTTTTTTTTTTGCGCACGCATGCTTTTCACAAATAATAATTTGCGTTTTTAGGCAAATGATAAACATATACTCTGCATCGTGATGACAAATAATCAGTCGTCTAAAAAATAATTATTGCCGATAATTATTTTAAAAAATTGTTATAAGCCTCAAGCGTTTTCTTCCATATAATCTTTCCTTTGGAAAAGTTAAATATAGTATAGTCAATAATGCATGTGTTTCACATATGTAATAGAAAGGTTTCGTATGTATGTGTATACCGTGCGTGAGTGCCCATGGCGAATTGTAACATAAAGGATACCTGAGGCGTTCGATCACGAGAGAATTAGTGATAAAAACGCACGATACGTTACATTACTTTCTCTCTTGACTTTTATATAAAGTGATCATGTATCGGCCCGATTGTAATTCTCGAAAGTATTTTTCTAACAGTTTTTCAGCAGGGCTAATGTAAATTAGAAATCTTACTTACAAGACCGCGATATGTGTAAAGTAATACTTATTATAATACACAACACTACGAGCCAAAATATTTTTAATTTACTCTTGAAGAATTTACCCACTTCTATCGTCTTTAATAAAAGTAAAATCACGATAAGAAATACTCAAGTGTGACTTAAATCAAGCAAGTCTTGTTAAATATGTCGAAGAATAAAATTTTTTACATGTTAGGTAAAATTAGGATTATGCGGATCTATCCACGAGGTACGTTTCTGATAAGTTCGGGAACAGGAAGAATGAATTTATTTGCAAGTCTACGACGTAGAGTAATCACAGGATTTTAGGTCAAGCGGAAATGCCTGATTTGAATATCGCACTTGTTACACATGCTTATTACGATTCTGTTTTACGCTTATTTTATTAATTTAATTACATTAATTAGTTTGTTTAAACCTTGACGATTCGCTGTAAATTATTTATTATTATCAATTAAAGAAAATACCATTTTGCGGTCTGAATTGGATTTTGATAGTCTAATAATAATATTGTATGAACTTTGTATACTTCTTTCAAACTCAGTAAACTGTGCGTCGATTTCTTGTCGGTCTTTAACTTATCTAAATCTACATACTTAAATAGATAGATAAACGATTTAACTTCCGGTGCTAATAAGCAGTTAATAACCATAAAATGGTATTTTCTCTAATTGATTGTATATGATGTCGATCCTGTTTTACTTATTATTGTTTCTTTACTGATTTATAATTGTACATTTACAGAATTTAGAGTAGAGGTATTAGGATTGAATATTAAGATTGTCATAATTTGTTTAAATTGTATAATAAATTTAAATTTTGTTTAATTTTACAATTAGTTTAATGTTTGTAAATCTTGACAATTTGTTTTAAATTATTGATACATAAAATATATAATATTTTGCATGTGTTTATAAAGTTTATAGAATTAAAACTAACTTAAAGACAATTAATATTATAAATATAATATTTATTATAAGATCGTTTATATCGCTTTACGGTTTGAGATCTGATAATAAATAAATATATATCTTTTTACATAAATCATGTTTCACGGTTTCACAAATTTTATCTTTTGCTATTATCAAAGAATAATTTCTCTCTGTTGCACAAGAAATTACGGTATTTTGCCGGTAAAAGTCGTAAATCTCAACGTTTTATATATCTGCTGTCTTTCTTGCGCACCTTTTCAGTCACTTAATCGCTCGTTTTTGCTCTAATGAGCCGTTCATTAGCCGTGTAGGTAGGGAAGGAGAGCGGCCTTAAATTGCGGGCATAGCGTGCAAATCATTTGTGGATTCGCGACGATTAAACTCTGCTTGATGCGCCGCCGAATCAACAAGATGAATGAGACCAAGGATTGTTTGTTCGGTGGCGTAATAAATACACTTTTTTATATTATTTATAAAACAACCTTTTAATATTATTTTGTTTGCGAACTCGATATGCCTTTCACGATTTCTTTTGCACTAGTAAAAAAAGACAAAAAAATATAGATAAATAGAACAGTAATACAGATATAAACTTAATCGTATACTCATTGTTACAAAAAACATCAATCTTATACCTACTAACTTAGATGAACTTGAATAACTTAATACATGAATAACGGTACACGGAAAGAACAGTTTGCCAAAGTATCTAAAAATTTAACTAGATACAGATCTGAAAATAATTTTGTTGCACAATCAAAATAATTATAGTCAGTTGCTGAAGTATGATAATAATATATAAAATCTATTTTAATGTAGCGCCATAATATAAAATAAGCTGTATGCGTCGATGGAAATCAGCACGCGTATTTACACATCACGTCACGAGTGCGTCCCAGGGTTATAAGCCGACAGAGAAACTTGCCCGGAGGGTGACTGCGCGGTGAGAGAATTTTAACTCCGATTTACATTTTGTTGCGAAACCAGGAGACTACGACGTAACGATCCGTCCGTTAGCGATCGCGCCTGGGCATCCCCTCGGGCTGACATTTTGATAGCGAGCCCGACAGCGCACAAAACTCGTGATGCTAATTACGGTTGACTAATCTGGTCCACAAGCGTCTTTTTCTCGTTCCGCGTGACATGCATTACATCGCTCCAGAAAAGGAGAAAGAGAGAGAGAGAAAAAAAGAAGATTGGACCGTGCTGGATGCGATTGATCGCGTTTCACATGAATCGCTCCTTTCGGACTTGTTCGTGATTTACAGTCACAGCTTCTTCTCCGAAAGATGATGGTTGAAAAATTTATGGACTTTTCTTCAGTAGCGTGGAATTTGCATACACAATTTTTTTTTTCTTCTTTTACATGCATTTCGATATTGAAGAATAATTATCCATTCTGCCGAGGATAACCGATACGCGGTTCTATCGTGCTTATCGGGCTAATTAATCGAACTTATCGATTTGAGAATGTGACACCTTTAACGAGATAACACCTCGAACCCAAACTTTTCGATTTGAATAAAACTTTTGTAGGTATGTATAGTAACTCAACACATATCTAAAAATGGTATGCTTCATTTATGTCCTATCGCTCTTTAAAGGTATTTGACCTAGAAATAAACATACCTTTAAAGAGCGATAGGACACAAATAAAGCACACGAAAAGAACGATTTTGCTGAAGTATCTAAAAATTTAGCTGGATACAAATCTGAAAATAATTTTGTTGGACTATTAAAATAATTATGTAGGACACTCAAACTGATTGCTAAAATGTAAAAATTTTTACAGCAATACTTTTGTAGATACATGTGTGAGACCATAAATTTATTAAATTGCTTTTTCTCTTAAAAACAAACACTTAAGGCCAGTTGTTCCAACCTGTTGATAAACTAATAGTTAAATCATATGTCTATTTTTGTCTAATTTGAAGGAAAGACAAAGACATATATATGATTTAATTATTAGTTAGTTTACGAACAAGTTGGACCAATCGGCCTTCCGTTAACTAAATTTAACGCCCGTATCTTATGCGCGCTCCATTTAATTCAACAAATAAGTAATTTGTTTTTTTTTTTGCGATGCGACAATATAACACATTTTGATGAGTCTAACAGATTCCAACCATCAAGATACGTATCTCATTAATTGTGAAAGCATGCGTGAAACGGAGGCGACGAAATGTGCATCGAATGCATCGTCGAAATGATTAATTTCAATCCACGTAATATGAGATAACATACAGCACATATTCGATCGAGAAATAAAATCAATATAGCGTGAGTTAACAGATTGAGTGTAACCGCCAATATATTAATTACAGCACGAAATTGGATGGTTACGGTAATCAGCGCGTTTTGACAATCGAATGTGCATATATTTGAGAGTACATACTGTTATACTTCATTTACTGAGCAACGATCGTAATATTTACTGATTTAATTATAATCCTTGCGATAATGCTGACTTTATTTGCAAGCTATTAATCACATATTATTATGTTTGATTGATCTATCCACGCAGTCAAATAAATCGTAAAAAATGTCATCTTATTACCTACAAACACCGCAAATGAGAGTCGATTATCAAAGATCAATTGATCTTTTTATATACCCAGACTACTCTTACTAAACGAATTTCATTAAAATTTACTTTAATCAAGGTAAAGTTTTTGATTTGTGGTACGAAATAGTGCATGTTTATTGAGTCAATTTTGTGTAATTTTATTTCTATCTTCTTTATCTAGAACATTAGAAATAAATGTATAAAATAGGTATATTTAAACAAACAATACAATACAATTTAATTAATTATTATGAATCTGGAAAAATATCAAGGTTAACTATATAAAGATACAGGATAAACTGTTAAATGCTATAAACGACTGATTTTTTATCCGAACGAGATTAGGTTATTTAACAATATTATACCAATAATAACAATTAAAAATATTATTTGCGTTGATTTAAAAATTGCCTAATCGCTATGTAAGTAAAACTGATTAGTAAATCTCCTTTGGTTACTTACCTTCATCGGATGAACTCGAAAAAGTGGTATCCGCGTGCGCTCCGTTAACCGCATTTAATTCAGCGAGCACACAAGCTCATTAATTCGCCGATTGCGTTGCAATCAGGTATGCGAGTTGGCCATTCTACGTTTTGACGGGGACGAGAATTGACTGTCAAAATCTGCAGGTTTTAAGATTAAACGACAACCGCAGATCCGCAGTTTGTCACCTGTAAACGTATACGCAATCGAGGTCGCAAAGTATATATTTAAAACCGCACAAAACGTTTTTCTGCCAAAAGCGTTGAAGAAAATTTATTTAGATGTATGAACCACACAGTATAATCAAGATTCAAAAAGCAAGAAGCAATCAAAAGATTTGGAAAGTATAAAAAAAAAACAATAAGTAATTAAGCTTCAAAATAAAACTTAATATGCAAAAATTTACTTAATAAACGTTTCTATTGTTTGTTATTATTTTTATTATTAGATGTGATAAGTAGCCCAGATAAACGAGCAATTACGTTTATTTCTTCACTATAGAAGGAAATTTACAGCTCTCAAGTACGGACACTCGTAAATAGTGAAAGCGACGCAAAGGCCAATTTAAGAAACGGTCAGTCCGTCCCCGGGTTAATTGGTACGCTACTTTTGGACAAACGCGTAGCCGTGTGCAATACTTCGTGTCGCGTTCTTGCATTCTTCCCTCGAATTATCTACTACCTCGGGAAAAGTTTGCCCATGTTTTTTACGTATGTTTCTTGGCTAGTCGTGACAATTCCCACGATCACGTCGCAGAGAATTCCTCCGTATCACGGATTCCGACGCGAACCTTGCTAAAGAATTATCGATCAATCGGCGTGATTCAACGTGAAAAACATATTTGTTTCTTTTGTGCAACTGACAGCCTGGAAGCCTAGCGAATCCTTCGATCGTCTCTCTTCGTATAGCAATGCGTGGCCTTGACGCCGTTATGCAACATCTCACTGAGATCGCTTAGACGCGCTTTGTTCAATGACCCCGTGGTTTTGGCGTATTACTAAAATAGACCGCTATTAATATAATGAACCACAGAACCGTAGTCGATACGTATGGACTTTCGAGAACTAGCAAGAGTCGATCAAGTATTTGCTATGGAATTTTATCGTTGTTTTAAAGAAAGTGATTGCGTGTCGGAAATTAGAGAATAACCTCATTTATTATCTACAGTAAGAAATAAAACAATACATGTCAAATTTATAAAAGTTGTCGTCTACAATATTTTTCTCTGGAACAAAACGACGAATTTTAGCAGTTTAATTTATTTACAACATATAATATTGTAAAATGTAAAAAAATAATAATGTTTATAAAAGTGAACAATTTCGCTTTTACAAAATTAATCTCTCGCATATACAACTGATATGACGTCACCAGAGAAGGAAGTTTACATTCTCGGATAAAAGCGCAGAGAAAATATCGACGAAAAGGAAGTTAAGTACACCATGGGAGATTGATAGGCTTTATTGCGTTCCCGCGGAGCTTACTGGTTTCATCCATTACCACATTACAGGCACCCACCTCAGAAATTCATGTTTTTACTGATATAAATCCCGTCGACGGGACAAACAACCGTCTCTATACAATGTATAGTTAATCCTGCGTATAATATTGCAAACAGTCTATTGTTTTATAAATTAATTATCGAATCGCTATTATTACATATGTATCATCATAGGAAATATTTATTACACGTATCTTATATTTTATATACATATATGGATACGCGCGCGCGCCCGCGCGCGTGTGTGTGTGTGTGTGTGTGTGTGTAATATTATACAACAATAACATAATATCATCAAAACGATCAATCTCTTAGTCTTCTTAATTTATAGTGCGTGTCGCGAAACAATTTACTTTTATAAAATAATATAAAATAAATCATTAAAAAATTAAGTAAAATATTCCTGATAAGTACTGTTATATGTATTATATTTTTTATATTAATTTACTTTACTTTGTAGCATAACATTATTCAAAAAAAGTCCGACCTGCTCGTAATTCGTTGCATGAGAACTGCGGATCACATAAGATTAAAATAAAAAGAATATTATTATCTTAAGATAAAGTAAACATTACATATTATCCATATTTTTCTTACAATCTACATATTTTAAAATATTATGATCAGTATCCTTATAAACAGAATTTTGACGTCATACATAAGTACGCGGAAAGATAAGTTTGGTTTAAATTCGGTCTTATCATCTCTTGTTACACAGGTTGCGTGTTCGCTTTGGGCGCTTTCGTGCTGAAAGCGTCAGTCTATCTTTATTGCTCATTACATATTGAAAAAAGATAGGAGCAATGCTTTCAGCACGAAAGTGTCTAAAGCGTCTAAAGCCACCGTAAAGCCGAAGTAATCCGCTTACAGAAACCTTGAGTAACCATCTCGACGCATATATCCCGTTGTATAATGTATAGAAATTCCTAATAAAAACTTCGTGACAAAAACGGTCTTCTTACATTATTCAGTACATTATTATAATAGAAATACGAGCCAGAACATATCAAATAATCTCTAAGTTGGAGTTTGTGCGATATATATATATATATATATATATATATATACTGACAATATTTTTAACTCAAAAGCTTCGCACAGTTGGGGATGCTACTGGCAAATGTGGAAAGGACGTGTCTGCTTCTGATGATAATTCACATTTTACTCGGTGATAAAGGCATCTATGCCGAGACATTCACTCTGGGGTACATTACCGGCTCGAAACGACTTTTTCACGACTTAGAGTACGCGCGTCCCGGTTTCCAAATATCAGGAGCTATCACTCTGGCCGTGGAAGAGGTAATTGCAGAGACGGATAATAAAGTTTAACATTTCCAATCACGCAGAAACATGATTATCAGAATGAATGTCGATTGCACGAAACTGCGAAGCGGCTTGTGATTGTCGCGAAATAACGTTTCTAGTTCATTGTTCTTAAAAATTATATATTATCATCACGCAATTTTAGAATGTTAGATTTAATAGAGCTTTTTGAAACTTAGAAAAGAGAATTTTGAAAATGACCTTTTCGTACAATTGGATTACTTTTATATTTTATAAGCATTGGATTAACAATTTTCTAATAATCCTGGATCTTTATTCGGTTTCGAAATGTCTCCTTGAAACGATTTTATTTGAAACGTAGGTGAACGCCGGTGAACTTGGTAGACGAGGGCACAATTTGGACTTTCTCGTTGCTGAAACTTTTGGCGAGGAGGAGACCAGCATTCTGATGACGGCGGATTTGTGGACGAAAAACGTTAGTGCATACATCGGGCCCCAGGAAACTTGCATTCACGAAGGCAGAATGGCGGCTGCATTCAACATTCCTATGATTTCATACGTAAATAATTTTTCTCATTGTTTATTTTACCGCTCGTTGTGTGAAATAAGTCATCGTTAAGTCAAATATATGAACGTACTGTATTTGAAATTGAGAAGATCTCGTCTTCTTATCCATGGAAGCTATCCGGCAAGCAACACAAGTCGACATACTCATTACCAAAAAAGAAAGATAGAACGACGTTTGCTTGCCGGAAAGCTCCCTATAATAAAATTTTCTTGTTTTCTTTTTCACGCGTTCCACGTTATGTAACATTCTAATCTAATTACCGAAATTCTACAGAAGTGCTTATAAATAAAATACTAACAATCGGAAGGAAATCCGCAGATACACCGCCATCGTGCGTGAATCACATTTGTTCGACGATGTTATATTCGTCAACCTTAGAAACTCGTGATTCGTGAAGGACGAGTATACGATCGCGTGTAAATACGTTATGAATGCATACTCGTGAAACGATGATATGAAAAATACATCAAAAGCTTTATAACTTAGAAATAAATAGTTTTTGGAGTAATGCTTATTAAGACACTTTTCAGTTTATTTTTATGACTACTTGATTATTTTACACAAAAATTTTAACAAGAACCTTTTTTAACAAAACTACAACATTTTTCCAACAGTGTATATACATACTGTATATATATAACACACATACGTATATATAACCAAATATCAGCATCTATCTTGCGTAAGAATTATTTTATAATTGTTAAAAATATAAGACACAAGATATACACATAAATAAAATTTAAGTGGCATTTTATACCGTGACCTACGCCAATATGTTGCAAAAAGTAAAATCGAAAGATAGTTACGCGGTACATCTGCCGGAAAATCGCGCTGGTGTCCATTTAAATTGAAATATAGTATCGCACGTGTCAAATGGTCCAATGTGGTGTCTTTTTGTTTCGTCGTGATTTGGTAGAGCAACGACACTTCTCCCTTTTCATCCACGCGCGGAGAGTGGGGAAAAGGGATTTCTCCGCTGAATGAAGTTGAACAGGCATGATTAAACTTAATCCAGCGGAGGAAACCCTTTCCCTCTCTATGAATGGAAAGAGAAAAATGTCGTGGCTCCGAAATTCGAAGTTGAGTTGACCAGGCCTGTTCTAGATGTAGTTCTATATTTTCTAGTTTTGTACGCATAACGAAACATCGAATAAGAAGGAGTTTCCGACGTTTGCGAGAACGCGGCCACCCGATACGCAAATTTCAAAATCTCTTCTATCAGTATTGTTAGCATTCAACTGGACAAAAGTAAGTACTTCGTAATTCACTCCGCGCAATTCTAATGAGATATTAACGTTAAATACGTTAAATACGTTAAATACGTTAAATTAACGTTAAATTGACGTTAAATAAACTTAGACATCAAATAAAGAAACTCATATTTAACTCATATTTTTGTAAATATTTTTATAAACATCTAGGTAACCTTCATGCATATGAATTCAACGATGTTTGAATTCAACAAAATGTCTACGATTGCGACGACAATTCTTACATCTTTCGAAGCAGCTGGAATTAGTGTAAATTATCGTCGTTCGTGGAACGAACCTTATTATGCGACGCACATGAAAAATCCTTTCCATGAACATGTCAAACAAACGTATCGAGAAACACGAAGTGAGTAATGAGAATATTTATAGTTTCGAGCAATTTCTTATACATTATTATCATATTTATCGCAATAAGATTGTAACTTTAGCTCGTAATTAACGCATCTTTTATTCCCGACAATTTATTTTAAAGTATTATAGACCAGACTTCTCTCTAACGTCCCTTTTTACACGAACTTTCGCTTTTAGTTGGAAAGTTAAATTACGACAACGCACGTCTTTTCCCAATCAACTTGCATACGCGCGATCCAAAATAGACTACCCGCATTTCGGTACCTTGATTTATGCCGGTACGATAAAATAAAACCTGCATAGGAAACAACCCGTATACTACAGGGACAAGTGTCTATAAGCCAGTGTTATGAATAGATACTGCGTGCTACTCGTCACATTAGTCACGCATCTGTTTAAACGTATTAAGAGATCGAGTCCTAAAAATAAACATCTAAACGTGACCGGTTTTTCACGATAGCAATCACGATTCGATAAAGCGGACACAATAGACTAAAAGCCGCGGAAAGAGGAATTTTGACCATGGCAGAATTTTTTTAATACAAAATGACGTATATATGTTTCAGTTTACGTAATACTCGGACATTATTACGAACACATGGGTCTCTTAATGGCTCTGGACGAAATGAACCTCTTGGAAAAAGGTATAAATTTGCTGTAAATTAATCAGGTACATATACTGAAGAGTAACTGTCAGCTATACCTCTTATTTTAAACGCGTAATGCACGATCGTATACATCACAATACAAAATACGGGAACTAATATACTTTTATTTTTTATGTACTTATATTTTTCATCGGAATAATCCAATTAAACAGAAATGAAATAATCGAGAAATGTGTTGCATTTTCTAATTTATTGTTACTGCCACTAATTAACAGTATAAGTTTTTAAGTGGACATACTTAATTGTCACAAGGTTTGATATATAATTCTTTACGTAATTTATTATAATTTTAGGCGAATATTGGGTTGTCGGCGTTGACATCGAACAATACGATGAAAAACGTCCAAGCAAGTATCTGCGCGGACTGTGGGAAAAGAAGACAAAAAACCTGTCAGCATATCGTAGTTATTTCAGTATCGCTGCGTCCGCGCCGATTAATTTCACAAACTTCACTCGGCTCGTCAACGAGTACAGACAAAAACCGCCATTCAATTTTACAAATCCGTTGGCAAACGTGGGAGGAATAGTTCAGGTGACTAAAATCTAAAATACTAAAGATTTTAATCCTAAAATTTGGAGATGCTACAATACGAAAAAAAGGTTTGAATTTTAACTTGGATTTCAAGTTAAAATTTAAACTTTCTTTTATCTTCATGATATTTTGAGAAGTTGCTTGGAATCATTTACCCTAATTTTTCTTCTTAACAGAACATTAATTTCAATATTTTTATCATTTTAAAACTTTATTTTGTATAGTCTTTTCAAGGGCGAGTCATTGGCAAAGAAACTTGTTCGTGCCACCTTGAAAATTTAATTGATTATTAAAACATTTCATATAAATTGACATTAAACCATTTTATATTAATCACGTGTTACAATGCAATTAAATCACGAAGAACGCATGCTCAATTATAATAATATAATCATACAACTCACATATCATTGCGTTGTGCTCCGAAACAGAATTATGAATAACAACCTGTTGTGCATGCAACGGACTGTCCGCGAGCATCTGCAAAATTATCACACTTGTTCGCCCTATTATTACCTTTTTTTTACGGAAGACGACTCGTCAATTCATGTAATCCGGGCCGCGATATCTTTCGTATGAATCGCACAGGCAGCCTTTCCGCTGCAGTCACTCCCAATCCTGAGGCATAATCGTTACTTCATGTTATAAGGCAGATCGTGCCGGAGACAGCGTATCTGTATGATGCGGTGCATCTTTACGAGAGATCGCTGCTACGTGCCCTCGACGAGAATCGAGACCCCCGGAATGGCCGAGAGATGGTGTCGGCGCTACATGGCGTTCATTATAAAAGCGCAATGGGGTACGTGTATGAGGAAATAAAGGCGTGAGCGCGATCGTTCGTCGTATATCGTAATGTTTTACATTTTACGACATGCAAATCAGATGCCTCGTGAGAAGACCGTCACCCAGTAATATCTCGCCAAAAGAACCGATCGAGAAAGAGAGAGAGAGAGAGAGAGAGAGAGAGAGAGAGAGAGAAAGAGAGAGAGAGAGAGAGAGAGAGAGAGAGAAAAAAAGAGACCTTATACGCGTACGCGTGCTCACGCGATGTATTTTCGGCGAAATAATTACCGTTTGCATGCCGTAACGAGGTCGCCGAAGTCGGAAGTTAAGCAATTTATCATCCGCGATTGCCGCGCTAAGATTTATGGTTTTCTTATTAAGGCGGAATTATTATGCGTTCTCTTTAACAGGCGAAAGAAAAAGATTCGTTCAACGATTAAAAACAAATGTTCCGCGCTTTATGAAGACAAAATGAAAGCAATCGTTTCGAAATACATTTCAATCGTTTAACAGACCTCGTTCGCATCGGGTATCTTCTTATGGACATTTGAACAAAACTGTCGCCTATCTCAAATTTCTTATATACACGTACGTAAATTAATATCAAATTTACCGTATAAAGAAATTATACTTATTCTTTTTGTTATAAACAACATTCATATTTTTATGCAAAAAATATTTATAACAAATTATTGTAATATTACCGATAATATTTAATAAAATTAATAGATAAAATAAAGTAAACGCTCGTGTGTCAAAATAAACTGTAAGAATAAAGGCCAACAATCGAGCATAGACGTGGATGTCAAATTAAAGTTTGTTTATTAAACATAAGTATGTGTAGAACGGAACGTTTCGACCGCACAGGGTCTTCTTCAGCCGATACAAATTAAAAAATTACATAAAGTCGCGCATTAATCAGTAAAACCGTAAACGGTAAAAGGAAACAAATTCGATGGAAATAACAAAGTCATCCGGAGTCACATCTTACATGAGAGCATTCTAATGGTAAAATATAAAATTGTATATATGTATATAGATTTCTGTAGAGTCAATTGTGCAATGTAAACCTTTTTTACATTTAACAATGTAATATACAAACAAACCCATGGATCACCACTTTCCCCAATAATTGCTGATGTTGTCATGCAAGACTTACAATTAGAACAAAAAACGCTTAACTCCTTAAATTTACATTTGTCCATTTACCGCAGATATGTTGATGACATTTTTATGGCCGCGCCGAACATGATAGAATGTATCCTTAAAACTTTCAACAGCTATCACGAGCGCCTAAAATTCACGATAGAATACGAGAATAACCGTTGTCTAAGTTTCTTAGATCTGTCGCTGCAAGTAGTGGATAACGCCATACAAATTGATTGGTTTCACAAGAAAACGTTCTCGGGTAGATATTTATCATATTTTTCAAACCATCCTGCGGTGTGCCACAAAATCGGCACTATCTACAGTCTAGTGGACAGAGCAATTCTTTTATCTCACCCTATATTTCACAAGAAAAATTTAGAAATAATCATCGAAATATTATTAGACAACGGTTATCCCTTAAAACTAATTTTTGATAAAATAAACATCGATCTATCATATCAATCTATTTTTAATTTTATTATATTTTTCAGTCTTTTCTACCCTTATTTCATATATAATTCTTTAAGATTTGGTTGATTAGACTCAGCTTTATACGCGATCAAAGGTCCCTAATTTTTAGAAAAATGTCTGTAATAGCTTTAACTTCTGTTTTTATCAGGAATATGTTGTTGAAAATATTTTTTATGAAATAATGGAAAAATATTGTTTAATTTATTCAAAGGAATGAAACGACTAAAGTTTGATAAGTCTTCGTTGAACTCTTCGCTTGTTATTCGATCCGTTTAGAATCATATTTTAAGCGTTGTCTTAAAGTTTGATAAAGAACAGTAGACTTCTTAACGATGTTCTGGAGGTACCGTCCCAACCAAAAGTATGCAAGAAATATTAAAAACACCGATATTAATTCTTCAGAAATCCAAAAACAAAAAATGTACATAAATAGAATGTATCTAATAGAATGTAAAAGACGTAGATTTAGTGACTGTAAATCTGAAACTGTTAGTTTTTAAACAGCAGCTGCTTAAAAATTGATTGGGATTAAATTGACCCCGTGTGACAAACGTGTTCGAAAAAAGAGGTGTGACAACCGAAGGTTAAAATAAATTTGAAACACATATGGTGACCTAAGGCTTTACACTTATGTGAATTTATTAATTATATAAAGCCACCCTCCTTTTTTTTATTTATTTCGCCAAATTTATGCACGCACGGGGATCCTTCAGGCACTCGGCGTACGAACGCACAGAACGACCGCACCATCCCAATGACCTATTTTAGGGGAAATATCGATTTCCCTTCGCTGTCCCAGCCGTAACACCTAATTTAACTCTGTGGGGTTGTTGGTCAGGATTAGGTTAAGGTGCGTCGTTCCCACAAATAACGAAATGTTCAGTTAGGTAGAATCTCGCTAGGTTTATTCATGCTCTATGTACAGGTAAATTATTTCTTGGATGTGTACGGATAGGTGGATGAGTGTGATTTGTGTAGAACGCGGTGTGTTGCGTATTATCCGTCCCGAATAGTTAGATTCGCTGAGGCCGAGCTTGGAGAGGAGTCTTGACGTTCTCGAAGATGAGGCCGGTGAGTGCGTCACCACAGAGTGCTCCGGTTGGAGTTAGATGCGTGGTACTCGGGTTGGCCGGTCGGTGAATCTCGAAGACGAGGCCAGTGAGTGTGTCACCACAGAGACGTATGGTACTCGGGTTGGCCGGTCGATGAGATGTGGCTTTCACGGGAGGAAAGTATCCACCTTGGAGATCAGGAACAGACCCTTCGTCGTGGCCCCAGGTGCAGGAATCGGAGTCGGAATCGGAGTTGGAGAAGGCAGCGCCTTGGTCTCGGTGTTGTCCGGTGAGCTGGGTCGTAAACGACCCAGGAACCTTTCCACGGCAGGGAGTCTGTCGACTTTACCGCGGAGAGTTAATGCCCTGCAAAGCAGGTGTAAACGAAGGCCCGGAATGAGCTCGCTCCGTATCAAACGGAGGCCTTAAAGAGCACGCTCCGTCTTCAAAAGAGATAATGTCAGGGGCCTTGGTAGTAGCACACCCTGACTGGTGAGCTGATCGCTGGAGAGGTCCCGCTGAGCTGCCCTTTAAACTCTGTTAGAAGAGAGTTGCTGAATGCGTACCGGTAAATCTAAATCGTCTAAATCGTAATATTTTATATTATTACTTAACTTTAAAAGCAACATTTAATAAACTATAAAATAAATGAGTCTTGTTTTGTGTGCGTGCTAACAACATTTAAAAAATTCAGGTACAATTGATGTAAATTTTTGATTAATTTATATAGCTGATAATAATGTAATCATACAATTTTATTATAAATTTTTATATGTTCATAAAAGAAAGTTTATTGTAGAATATTTTACATTCTTTGCATATTATATACATATATGTATATTTGTGCACGTATTATAAAAATTAAATCAATATTTTTATAAAATCTACCAAGTTTCTTAAATCGTACCATCATAAGATTTCTTTTATCGTGCCTGTACGATCTAGGAATTCGCGCTGATTCGCGTTAATCAATTCACCGGCGTACCCGATCTGACCAGCATCTAAGAAATGAGGGACGATTGGGACGATCAGGGTCGCTCGATCGTCCGATCGATCGGTTGCGATAATAGTTTGGAATTTATGACTATCGGTACCATTTACCTCACCTCAAGATACGCGTACGTGCGTAAAACGATCTCCTCGATCGATGTCACATCGTTCGTACAAAAGAGGACTTTTGATTGGAATTATGTCAATTTTTGGGCAAACCAAACCTAGAAAGCCTAGTCTAGTAGCACATTCTGCCACACTGCACTTTCGCGCACAAAAACCTTTACTATATTAAGCTATAGAATTCCTATATTTTATGAGTAGTTACGTATCTTGCGCGTATCTATGTATTTAAAAATCAACCCCATCGCGACGTGGACTTGTGAAAATTACAGATGCGCAATTTGCAAGTTATACGGGATAATTTTAGAACACACGGCGCACAGAAAGTAACTGCATACATTATTCATGGGAGACGAACGTTTGACTTTCAACTAGCTAATTTTTAACATAATCTATTTTACAACGAAAATTATTAAACATTGTCACATAATTGGTTATTGCGATTGTATTATATATCAAAGAGTCAATTGACATCGCGCAATTCGTCGAATTTATTAGTCACACGATTATCTGTTAAACAGTTAAACTATATTGGAGCAACAGAATCACATGTTGCAGTCAAAATCCGTTCTGTATCGTTTTATCGCTCATAATAATTCGTCACACTCATATGCCATCCGTTGCTGATTAAACGACTTCATCCAGTATAATCTCTTTGCTATATTATTCACTGCTCACTGTATTATTAAGAACATTAAATCCACTAATCTCGGAGAGAGACCATCCCGAATGAGATAGAACGTTACCGCCACGCAATAATCTCTTCGGCTTAATGCCAGCGGTGTGTACCAAAGAGCATACACAGTCAGAAGCTTAACCGTTAGACGCACGCGGAAAGGGATCAGAAGGTCACGGTATTTCGTGGTTCGAAAATTGAGGGGGTGCTTGTGGAGAAACGGTAGCAATGGGGTGGATTTATATAAGGTCTGCCTCGAGCATCGCGCCGGCGAACAAGAGGGAGTAAAAATAAGCCGGATGGGATATTATCGAGCTGATAGGAAGGTCGGTATATATTTTATTCGCGGTACACGTTTTTTTTTGTTTAGCTTTATAACGTCGGTGCATTGACGCAGAAAACTGGAGTTGCATTGTGTGTATCTACTTATTGTGAATAGGTAAAATAATTTACGTGTTAAATTGTTTAGAGCGTTATTATTGTGTATTTGTCATATAAAAGATGTCGGGCTAGTCGATAAAAATTGTACAGAAATTTTTATCATTTTCAAGTTATTTTACTCGTAATATAATTATCTTTTCGAATTTTTCTTGGTAAATTTCTATTAAAAATAAAGACACTTTAAAAACGGCTAGGGCAAAGTTGAAGAGACGAGGCCAATAGCCTCTCGACTTGCTCCATTTTTTGTTACTCGAAGTATCGCTTCAGAAATTCAGAGTAGCTCGCAGCACTTTTTAATGAGACCTACCCTTTAGTAGCACGGATTTTGATAAACTATCCGCAAAAAAACCTTTTCAACTCGGCCGTTGTCATGGTCGAACGAAGATGACAAGAATATATATCCGCAAAAAACACATGATTTAACTTTTTGTTTCGTACAAGATTTCAGAGATTTCAGAAATCCATTTGTATATACAATTCTAACAAGAAAGTGTTTTCTGTAAAAATTATCAGTTGACAGAAGGAATGTCGGTAGCATTTTTCAACTGCATTGAAATATCTTCTTTAAAATCATATACTGATTCATGCAATTTATATACAGATGACCAGTAAAATGACAAAGTTGTTAACAGTATATCTATTCGGATGTTCTATATCGACCTTTATAGGAGTTTACGGAGAATATTTCTCTCATAAAAAAAGTATATAATTTGTCTATAAAGAGACGTGCTCCTGTTATCAGTCGATACTGCTCGTTGTTTATTGGCTTTATTTAGAGGATCGCACGAGCGAGAAATTTACCAGTTGCTCCACTTCTGTGAACGACTGAAGTAGCATCTCGTTAGGAATTCACGCAGTCCTACACCTACCTTTCTCCTTCTTTTTCCCCGTCGCGCTTTGTCTGTTCTTCTCAAAAGCTCTCCTTTCAGCGAGTTCGTCGCGCGACGTAAACGAAGCTTTCAGTAAATATATAAGCATTCCGCAGCAAACTTTTCACTTTCGAGCTGAAGAATCGTTTTCTCTCTCTTTCTCTTTCTCTCCTACCTTCCTTCCTTTCTTCTCTCGTTCTCGAAAGAAAACGAATCGTGATGACCTGCCATTCTGCGATACAAGATAATATACTCTCTGTGGCGCGACGGAAAATGACGTCCGAGGCTTATACCGGGGTCGACGGGAGAAGGGGAGACCACGAGAGAAATTGAGGATACACAGGGAGGCCGATTACGGTGGGTGGTACGCCGGGTCGCGCCGGGTCACGCCGAGCGCGAGAGCGGCAAAGGAGAGGGACGGCACGACGGCAGCGGCGGCGGAGGGGTGCATGGCCCCAGCAGGGCGATTCTCTAACTCCTTAACGTCCTTAACGACAGTTTCGGTATCGTTGCGCAGCATTTTTACCGTATATAATACTTGCGCAACGATACCGAAACTGTCGTTAAGGACGTTAAGGAGTTAGAGAATCGCCCTGCAGGCAAATTATTCGCATTCAAACGATTCCGTTTCAATATCAGGTCGATGCCTAGAAACAAAAGAAGACCTGACAGATGCTGCTTCCAGCTTTCGCTTTGCGCCGCGTTGCTGCTGATGCTGCTTTTGCCATGCTGCTGGCAGCTCGCCGTCCCCGCCGGCGCCGTTGCTCTGGTGCCTCTGTTTGCAGCTTGCGAGCTTAAGCTCTCTTCAGCTTAAGCTCTCTTCTCTCTTTCTCTCTTGCTCGCGCGCGCTCTTCCTCTCCTTTTGATCTTCTTTCTCTTGTTATTCTTGTTGTATCGTATATTCTTTTTTATTCTTGTTCTATCATCTAACTCTGACAATTTTTTTAATTTGTATCGGCTGAAGAAGACCCTGTGCGGTCGAAACGTCCCGTTCTACACATACTTATGTTTAATAAACGAACTTTAATTTGACATCCACGTCCATGCTCGATTGTTGGCCTTTATTCTTACAGTTAATAAAATTAAGATTAACACTACTCCTCAATAACAAATACACATTACAAATAGATGTCAGTATTGTTCTGTAATGCACTGCTATTCTATTTAATTGATCGAATCCAGCTTAAATAAGCATAATGAAATTTACATATTATGTGGGTGACCAATTCCGCAGATACATGGTATACATGGATGAGAATGGAGATGCCGAGGGCAATTACACATTGATTGCATTGGACCATCGACCTACGAAAGGCTACGGGCTTTATCCCATTGGGAATTTCGTTGGAAAAGAACAAAAAACAAATTTACCAGTAAGCAAACTATTGTTTCATTAATAAATGTACTTCAAATTAACTATACTTTAAATGAGCCCCTTATTTAATTCGATAATAATATTTAGAAGCTTCAATTAATTAAGAAAATAACATGGATCGGAAATGGACCACCGGTCGCAGAACCTTATTGCGGGTATGATGGTGAAAAATGTAATTGTACGTAATATAAATTTATTCAGCTGTTATTATACAAATGTTTATTTAGTTATTCACATATTAGTATCTTATAAATATTATACATAAACACCTTTTTTTCCTGAAGAATAATATAATTATTTTTTATTAATATATAGATATATATCTTATTTCACATATCTTATTTTTTTGTCTAAAAATATATTTGTGTTCTTAAAGTAATATACTAATAATATTATTATATATAATGTTTCTAAAAAATAATTTTATACAATACAATACATTTATACAATACATACTTGAAACAATAAGTTGTATAGAAATTCTTCATATAATTGATACCTGTTCACAGTTCATACTGGCGAAATTATAGGAGGTATCGCCGGCACATTGTTGCTCATTATTGCAGCGGTTGTTCTGATCCTTCATAGAAACTGGAAATATGAACAAGAGTTAGATAGTTTGCTATGGAAAGTCAATTACAAAGATATCGAGATCAAGGAGCAGAAGGATGAAACAATGAGATCCGACGAAACGTCTGCCAATTCCAAGGTAAGATGCTTGTTTACCATATCGTTACCGCTACTCTCGAGAAAATCTTTCTTTTTTTTTTATATTTATTTCATATTTTTATCATTTTATATATTTTTCCATCATTTTCCAGTTGGATTAAACAACCAAGAGCGCTTGCAGTTGCGCGAGATTTATTTCATTTGCAAATTTTATCAAAAATTTAGCACAGTTATAATGAGTATTTTGATGTAGAGTTTTGTACTATAAAGTCATATTAATGTAGAATAAATGTTTTATCACAAATAATATTTTTAACCACAAATACATAAAACACTGAAATATAACGTACATGTATGTTTTGTTTTCTTATAAAGTCATCAACGATGCAACCCATAGTGCGAACTAGTCAAGTGTCGCTAAGTTCTAATCCAGACTCGGTCAGATATTCCACGATTTACACACAAATCGGAGTATATAAAGGGCAAATTTTTGCTGTTAAGAAAGTTAGGAAGAAATCGATTGAGATTACGCGAGAAATGAAAAAAGAACTAAAAATGGTAACGTTTGCATAGTCAATAATTTTAATTTAATTTATGATTAACAATATTATATAATTTATAATTAACAGTAATAACTGTTATTAAACAATTACAGTAAGATCTCGTTTGTTATTAAGGTAATATATTTTTAGATGCGCGATTTAAGACACGATAACTTAAATTCGTTTATTGGTGCATGCACCGATCCGCCTAACATATGCGTCATCGTCGAATATTGCGCACGCGGAAGTCTTAAGGTAATTTTTAAAATTAATGCAATTAGTATTCTATCTATACCGATTAAATTTCCAAATATTATCGCATTATGTTAATTTCGGTAATTTCGAATTTTCGCAATATGCTCACGATCAGAGAAATGTTTTTTTCAGGACATATTGGAGAACGAAGATATAAAACTCGATAATATGTTTATGGCGTCTCTCGTCGGTGACATCATTAGAGTAAGTTTCGTTCAGTTTTATTTTTACTTTAATTTTACAATATTCTTAAACTTCGTTAAAAACTCACTTTTAAAAGTAAGTCGACTAGTCGTTAAAAGTCAATATAAGTATCTATAATTTTACTCCAAACATTTTCACTTTTAAAAATATTTTTATTTTCTAAAATAGTATTAGATTTCCTCTGTGTAAGACTGTTGAATGCATCAGACTGTTGAATAAAATGTCCGTAACATAAAAAAAATAATTTCGAAACCTGTCTATATTATAGGTACTTCCTACATTTGCAACACTCTGAATAACAGCACGTTGTTAAAAACTTTCATAATTCTATAGTAATTAATCCAGAGAAGTATTCTCTTTTGATTTTACTTTAATATCATATATATTTGGCTTTGAAAAAATCTTACGCAAGCAGTAAGATTATAATAAATTAATAAATAATAAATTAAATAAATTTTATAAAAATGTAAGTAGCTAAATAAAGCTTATACGTTTATGGGACGTAGACAACGAGGGCAGGAAAATGATAATTCGACTACAGAGAATACTTCACAATTAGAAAATATTTCGAACGCGGAATTAGGGGAGAGAGTGACAGCATCCGGGTTGTCATGTTATTGCTGAAGGGCTCAATGGCGCAGGGTAAAAGGCGGAGGATTGTATCACATCACACGATAAAGATACGTCTGATAATAATTGCTGTATTGTCAGATAACGTACGGGACGTAGGCGAACCGTTGACAAACGAGATGATGATACTTGTCGATTACAGAAGTTCTACTTTAAGATTGCGTCCCCAAGAAACTTATCAAATTTTGTGCTGTCTTTTTAGGGTATGATCTATCTTCACGAGTCAGTCATAAAGTACCATGGATCGCTCAGTACGTCAAATTGCCTTGTTGATTCGCGATGGGTTGTAAAACTAGCAGATTTCGGCCTCCACGAATTTAACCAGGATGCCGAATACGATCCCTCCGACGTTATAAAAAAATATCACGGTACGTGAAAGAAATAACGATTTTTATACTTGACTCGATCATAATCGTTCTTCCGAATTCTTATAATTTTAACAGTAATTGCTAAATTCTTTTCTCATAATTTTTTAGTTTGTAAATTAACAACTATACATATAAACTGAAGCAAATTCATCAATATTTGCCATGATCGCAAATATACATATATAAGTTTATGCATTTAATTAATTTACGATAGGATTGTTATACAAAGCGCCTGAATTATTACGCTCTACGCGTCTCGGGACGCCAACTGTTCGTGATTTTCAAAGGGGTGACGTGTATTCGTTCGCCATCGTATTATATGAACTTCAAGGACGACATGGGCCATTCGGTATTACGGAACTATCAGCAGCCGAAATATTAAAAAAAGTAATCGCAAGAGATTCTGAAATATCACCGTTTAGGTAAACTATTTAACTGTGGAAAATACAATTTTAATTAAAGAATTTAAAGAAATATCAATGGAAATATTAAAGAAATATTCTTTTTTCACGAAATAACGATAGACCTCCATTGGATCAACTGGAGAATACGTTTGATTTCGTTCGTGACTGTTTGCTGGAATGCTGGGCAGAAAATCCTGAGTTACGTCCAGATAATTTTAAGATAATAAGAAACAAATTGAGACCGCTACGAAAGGGCATGTGAGTCTTCTTTGCGTTATTATATATTGTATATAAAATAATATTTTGTTAATCACATACAAGCATATATTATTAATCTGCATCACGAAAATATTGTCGAGAATTTTAATTAGATTTTATTTTTACCTTGATCGTTCATATAATAACAGACACATGGTTTATATTTTTATTACAGGAAAGCGAATATTTTTGACAACATGATGGCGATGATGGAAAAATATGCGACGAATTTGGAAGCACTCGTTGACGAACGGACAGACCAATTGACTGAAGAAAAAAAGAAAACAGGTTGGTTAACTAAAAAAACACAAAATTTAAATTCTATCGTTATTATTGTGGTTTTAGATAAGAGTAGATGACTTACAAACATAATTATGTTTGTATTTTTGATAAATATAGTGAATATACCGAAAAAAAATCCACTTTTCCCATTTTTTCAGACGCATTATTATACGAAATGTTACCGCGTTCCGTGGCCGAGCAATTAAAAAAGGGAAAGAAAGTTGAGGCGGAAAGTTTTGCTTGTGTCACCATATATTTTAGCGACATAGTTGGTTTCACATCTATGTCCGCAGAAAGCACGCCGTTGCAAGTAAGAATTTTTATTTAGTAATAAACGTACGTGTTATTAATTACTGCTCTAAACTTGATTTATTTTTCTTGCTAACAATAACTATATACTATTCGCATATAACTACACCCCGCTCGTTCCAGGTGGTCGATTTTCTAAACGATCTCTATACATGCTTCGATTCGACGATAGAAAATTTTGAAGTGTACAAAGTCGAGACTATAGGAGACGCTTACATGGTGGTGAGTATTACGGAATCAAAATTGTTCGCGAATTTATTTAAAATGCTATTTTGTGGTAGATAGGTAAATTGCGAATTATCATAAAAAACTATCGGACAATTCCGTCCTTTTACATTTTACATTCTTACCTGTCACAGCCGAATTTTATCTCTTAGGTAAGCGGCTTGCCAATAAGAAACGGTAATCAGCATGCTGGTGAAATAGCGAGCATGTCATTGTGCCTCTTAGACGCCATTAAACAATTTACCATCCGTCACAGACCGCTTGACAAACTGCAACTACGCATAGGAATACATTCCGGTAAGCTTTAAAGCAAAAAAATTTCTATAATAAAAAAAACTTAAATAATGATAATTTTTTTTATAGGTCCGGTGTGCGCTGGCGTTGTTGGTTTAAAAATGCCACGATATTGTTTATTCGGCGATACAGTTAATACCGCATCTCGTATGGAATCTACAGGATTACGTGAGTATCATAGAAAATTCATGTTTAATGTGTAATGAAGTATATTAAACAAAGCATCGAGCGAATGTATGTAAATGTATAAATCACAAATAACGTTGCAATACTATGACTACACATCCCGTTTAAACGGTATAGCAATTTTCTCACTTTTTCGTAGCGCTAAAAATTCACTGCAGTAGTGAGACAAAGCAGCTGCTTGATGAGCTACGAGGATTTTTTTTTGTCGAACGTGGCAAAGTTCCCATGAAGGGCATCAAGGGCGGCGAACGTCTAACCTATTTTTTAATCGGAGAGGATCCAATATTACGCAGCAAACGTAACAAGGAAAGAGCGAGTAAGCGAAGCGGCGGTAGCAAGAAAATCAGCATAGCAGATCCTCTGGTTCCTCGAAGTTCTCTGAAGAACAAGTCCCTTGTCAGATCGACTTTCATGAGGTGTTCCAGCGAATCCCCGAAACGCTTGCGATTCGCCAGCTCGGATCAGCTTGACAAAAAGGGTTCAAGGGTAAGCCAACTGGAATCGATAGTCGACAACAGCCCGTGCAAAACGAAAGTCTCATGCGTGTTACGATCGTCCTGCATGGAGAGCTGGCGATCTTCCAGCAACTCATGTCCGTGCGTTGAGAAGCTATGCGATCAGGAGACTCAGCCGGAACTGGTAGAACACGAATTGCCATCGGACGTTAAGAACATGCCGCTGCTTCGAACCAACTTAATCTTCGGAAACGAGTCGTGCCTTCTGCGACCTGAAGCCAAAAGTTTCCGCTTCGGCACTCCTGGAATACTCCAGATCGCCTGCAAATCAGCACCCAACAGCCCCAAGCGTAGCATGGTGACGTTGAACGCCCAGAAAAGAGCGGCACAGTCGAACGAAGAAATCGATGGATGGGACACAATGACACCATTGATCTACTATCCGGCTGATCGCTTGGATTCAAAGGTTTAAGAGATCGACATACATGATATTATAAACACAGTAGCAAAATTTATACAAATTAATTTATATTACATATACTTATACTATGTATCAAAATATTTACAAGGCTAACTTGACAATCAAGAATTTTGCGAACGATATAAGTATGCCGATTTTTTATCCATAATCTGCCAATTGTAATTTTGTGCCAAGTAGCACATTTTTTAACGAGATTTCTCACTTACACGATGTACCAAAGCGCACTGTATACGTACAAACTTTACACTTAGATATCAATGTATTATTTATAACTAAAACAGAGACAGTGATATATCTTTCCAATGATATATAATTCCTTTCTTTTTCAGCGCATAACGACAATATATTCCTTACGTTAGCATAGACAATCGTAAAAGGTTCGTGCTTCTTAAATAAATGTCTAGTCAATGCTACTTTAAATATCATATTTGTCTTTGAGCACCTTTATATAACTGCCAAACGTTATATGAAAGAAGATTAATTCTTGTATTGCACAAAAAGACCCAACCAATCGTTAATGACTAAGAAGACAAAAGTATTATTACTATTTCTAAATGCTTTTCGAAACCATGATCTATTAATGAATGATATTGTTTAATAAATATTTACTCTTTCAAGGAAAGATTGGTTCTTATATACATATATATGTATACAATGTATTTCTTCGTACTTTGCTTTAAAACGTTTAGAAAATTAAGACATAAAAAAAATATTAAAACAAAACGCATATTTGTAAAAAATAAAGAAAGATAAAAGTATTATGGTATTTTATTATTGCAAAACTCATCTTTATACCATAGATCTTCAATTCATCCTCAAATTATCTTAACTTTTATATTCTATTTTTTTATTCTTTCTTTTTCTTCATCTTTAAATAATAATTTGTATAAGCTTTGTACGATAAATATACAGAAAACGAGAAAAATATGTACCTTATTCGTCTTCGAAATCCGCCGTCACTGTGTACACATTACAATATGCGACTCTTATAGTTTGTGCAGACGTCATACGTAAGTGCAATGGCTTCAGACGCGTAACCCGGCACACGCAAACGATGCGTGATAGAGCGGCGGCGATAACGCAGAGAGATCCATTACGTTATTATTATTGAGGAAATTAATTAAACCCGACTAACGCAAGTCGGCGCGATATTATGCACATATATAACATATACTTCCACTACTCCTTTTATCGTTCGCCTGCACAATTAGTCCGCTATGCAGTAAACGTTTCTTAAAAAAGCGAGCAAAAGTTGACGCGACAGACATATATCGAATAAAACAACATTATGTGAAAGACCCCAGGTAGCAGAGTGACGTCAAATGACGTTGAGGCAAATAACCTGAAATTATACGAACAATTCGCCTTGGTCTTTTTCTTTTTCATCTTTCTTTTTTTTTAGCGCGACTGCTGCCGTCCTAGGTAAAAAGAAAGATGAAAAAGAAAAAGACCAAGGCAAATCGTTCGTATAATTTCAGATTATTTGCCTCAGTAAAATTTTTCTGCGTTTAATTAAACAGTGCAACGACTATTTCGTTTCCAATAAAGCCTTTCTGTTGCATCGTATTCGCACACACGTATATCATGGTATCATTTTTCAGGGGCCATGCACTTGTTACTGACCCGCTTCATGGTAATGCATTATACAAATTTGAGAATTCAATCACGGAATGCCGAACCGAAAAATATTGATTTCAGTTTGCACATACGTCTCGGGAACGTCGCGTGACGACAAAACCGGCGACAGTATGTCCCGCCTTTGCCTACACGCGAACGAACCGTGCAAATACAAAACTGACTCCGAAATTTATTGCACGAATTACCGCGAGCGTCTTCGTAGACGGTCGCGGCGAGCTCGAACTTGACCGAAACGATGAAAATCGATACGTGAGAGAAACTGCGTAGACGCATATGTTCAATAAACTCACAATGATTTCAACATATCTAACAAATATCTAACAAAATTGTCTATCTAACAAATATAATTTAACTAACATACGTTTGAACGACCGTAATATCATCGAAATTGATAAAGACAAAACGATTATAAAGCAGAGTAAAATATAAACGATAATAATGTACACAGGCAGACACATATACAAACTGACAACGAAAACACAAGACTTGTTACGAGCAAGCGGACACCCTGTATAACGAGGCGACTCTAACATACAGAATGGGGTACTATCTTATTTACGTTGAAGTGGTTGTCGGCCAACTTAGACCGGTGGCGATCATTCAATCAAGCCGAACAATTTAAACAACCCGGATTCACGCAGCGAAATCATTTAATATTTGACGTCAAGCACGATTATCGTATAACGGTACGTAATGGCCGTTTGTTTGTACAGGTTGCAAGCGGCGCCGTAATTTTCAAATGGTATATTTGCCTCTCTGAGAACAACGCTGCTGAACGTCGTTATTGCATTATTGTAAAACCTTCTGCATGCATTCGTCAACAAAATTTCGAATAACTGAACGTTATTTTAACTTCACGCTCGAGTACATACGACGAAAAGAGCGGTGCTTTTATTAGGCTTAGGCTCTCCTTCTGCCAACCACGTCTATTTATAGACACGGAATTATCTTCATCCGTTGTGGAAACAATACGGCGGTGGAAAAAAGACCCGAGGAAATGTCATACAAAACTGACGACAATTCTCTGCGACTTACACGACGCGTTGCGCGCTGGCTTCCGCGGAGAACTTTCCGAGATTCACTCGTTAGCGAGTCAAGAGAAGCATTATGATTTGTGATTGATTGACATTTTTCGCGGTTTGTACGAATGACTAGAACGAACTTCGGGGAAAAATGATCGGTCGTCGTGTCCGCAACGCAATTTGGAAATTTCTTTCCGCGGAACGCCAGGACAAACAACGCGACGAGACGCGATTTCTATCTCCCCGTGACGCGCGCTCGCTCGCTCACTCACACCTGCGCTGCGGCGAAAACGGAGCTATTGTATACGCACATGCGGTTACTTTAAATATAAGATATGCGCGCTTAGGCCGGGACCTCAAAATAAACTCGTCGCTACAATTCGACACGTTCGATCGCGACGACCGACATCATTGTAATTTAGCCTGATTTTTATCGGCACGGTTTGCTTGGCCGGCGAGCGAACTCGGCTTCTTCGAGCAAGTCGCGTTCCACGTTCGGATCTCCTCGCCTTGAACGTGACGACTCCAATCAGACTCGCAAAATTGCCTTTTAGACTTGCGTATCGTGATTCGATTATCTCCTCGAAATGGTCGTTACCAAGATAAATTATTCCAGTTAACGAACTAGATTCATTTTGGCATTAAAAATTCAAATACAAATTATCGAAGGTGTATATGCAATAATTTTTCTGCTACTTAATTTGTTTTCGTAGTATCTAAAGTTTTTTTTTTTTTTTTATCATACCATCAAATCTTCTACGGGATGTCACGAGTTCAGAACTTTCAACAGAACGTCGCTCGCAAGGAAAATGCAGAAATATCTGATGCAAGCGTACCATCATAGTATACTATACATGACAAACCCCGAATGTTGACATTCACAGAAAAAAAGATAAGATAACAGCTGTTAGTACCCCCCGCTCATCGTTTCTGCACGTTGCCATCTACGTCACTGTTGCTAACTGTGGCGTGTGTGTACACGTGTATTGTGTACTGTAACGAATTGATATTATTCTTTTCTCAATAGTGTTTTTTCGCAAAATCTCTTTCACGCGCAAAAATCAATGCCATCGCGAACCATCGTCGACATCGCTCGACTCGTCGTTCGCCGCGAATCTGTCTCAGCTGTCCAAGTACTTCCACGAAATACTTAGCGCGAAAGATAACAACGGAAGGAGAGAAAGAGGCACGAACGTCGGAAAATTTATACGGAGATAATGAATCGCAGAGAGGTACAAATGAGAACGCGAAATTAATCGGCGAAGATGGGAAAGATATCCCGCCTTTTTCGAAGTACGTCTCACGCGACGTAGAGAAATTGTTCAATCACAGTTGAATTTGAGAAGAATAATTGACTGTGATTGGTCAATTTCTTAGGGCTTAAGGCTTAAAACACCTATTGTAGATGAACACTAATGTAAGTCAAATCTATATAATATTTAAGACCGTCTTATAAGCACAATCTTAAGATGTTATAAATCAATCACAGAGCATCTTAAAACATTACTCAAGACGGTCTTGAAATAAGAACGGACTACAAATAGGCCCAGAAGATTGATTTTCGTATTAATGGCATATAGGCGTTCAGCGTCCCGATATAATCGATCGATATTTCCGCCACTTTCATCGGTGCAATCGTCATTTTTTTTTATTAAGTACCCCGAGATTTTTCAAGCCCGACGATAATCGACAAGAAAGGCAGGACCGATCTCCATTCCTTTTAATCGCGAGGCAAGTGCAATCGCGATGATGCGACGACTACGCGAAGCTATCGTGCCGAGGAGACTACTTTCTTTGAAACGTGACGCTTCTCATTATCGCACCTCATTATTTACCAGCGCTGTTTTACGAGCACGTGCAATCGCGACGTATGCGTCTCGCCGCAGAGCATCGCGGCCGAAGACGACAATTTGCATAAACTTTATTTAGTCGGTCTTTAGTCGGCCCGACTCTGTGTTTAACGCAGCATTACTCGTTCGCGAGGAATGTGCGAGTGTGCGTTGAAGATGCTAAACAAAAATATAAATTTTAAATGCTCGTAAAAGTGAGATGTAATTTTCCTAATTATAAATAAGTATTTCACGTTCTAATCGTTCCAGTTTGATATCGTTTCCCAAATCGCTTCTAATTTCGGTGAACGGACACGTGGCACGTACGTGTAACATCGACAGCCTTCTTCTACACATAACGACGTCATGTCATTAAAGCCGTGCTCGTGATCGTCAATCGCTCTTACGGTACGTACTACGTACGTGCCCGGGAAGCAAAGTGTCTACTCGTAAATAAGATTACATTCAACTGACTACGGATTTGCAAACAATTAGAGTGTAAACGAGCGCACTCCTCGGCGGCGTACATTCGCAGATTATTCTCGTTCGCGTATTGCAGAAATATGCACCCACATAACCAAATTTGTCGAGAACAGATTTTAAAAATATAATCTGCTGCAAATGTTGCCGATAGAATGCCAGCAGAAATATATAACAAATTCTGCTAAACAGAATGTAATAGCAGATTGATCGCAGAAAGTGAACAAAATCTACCATTTAAAAGATATAGTTGTAGATGTAATTCCATTTAAATTTTTAAATAGTTTAAATAGAAATGACAGATTTTACTCGGTTTCGTCCGACAATCTGCTCATATTATATCGGCAAAACACGAGTTTAATACAGACACAGATAATATCGGATCTGTCGTGATATCTGAGCGAAATCCGCTGCCAATCTATTGTCATATTGCGAGTAGATTAATTGTTTACTGGGCTGTGGCGGGCCGTAATGCGTCTTGATTGTATCTACACAATCCTGCGCAAACATTTCAATTTTGCAAGTTGTGCCAAAAAATTATCTTAAGAGATTAAAATATAATGCATAAAGTGATAAAGAAATCGACGATGTTAAATGTGTTAAATAATTTTTTTGTAAATGATTATTAAGAACTGCAATGCATTTGTAGCTGAAATATATGCATGCAAATGTAGATAACGGCATTATGGTTGAGTTATGACATGAATGAGGCTTTTCCTCGTCCGTCTTAGAGAACTTAGAATATTTAATTTGAAAACAAATCATTTATGTACGCTTTTATATACGTTTTTATAAGATAAAACATTTGAGCTTGTCTTAATACAAGGTCTAGGTTTAATTTGCAAATACACTGTTAAATTTGTAATGTCTAATTATATTCAATTTGAGCCATCTTTAACCATTCTTATAGGTCGCCACTGCTCCTACTCAACATGTCGTTAATTTAACTAAAAAATATTGTTATAATTTAACTAAACCAATGGAGTTAAATATATAATACTGTTCTGTGTTAAAACGATAAATTTGATAAAAATGACAAAATGTTATTTAATTTAAGGTACTGGCTTAAATTCCATCTTTTAATATTTAGCAGTGTATACATATCCGACCGTAATGCAGATAAATCGGTCGTACTAATCCTCGAATTTGTTTTCTGAATCCTCCAAATTACGACGTGCATGATAAATAATCGAGCGCGTTAATTCACGTTAAAAAAACAGAAACAGAAGCCTTGAACGCCATTTATTACATTTAATATCGCGAGATCTCTGTTTACATATACGAATTCACTCCTCACGGACGCGAATGAGATTCATCATGTAACTCTTGATTATGTGCGAATCTTGATTAACACGCGTAAAATTAATCTCCATCATATACTTTAGAAAGGTAAATCCAGCTAGTATGAGACTGGGATAAGAACACTGTTAACACAATCAAAAGTGTATCTTCGTCTCAGGCCGTACTTATAAGGTCGTACGTACAGGCCGTCGTACGAAAATTTGCTTGTAATAAATGTTATAGAAGGAATCGTGAAACAAAGCTCCGTGGATTAATTCTAACTGTATACTCGGTGCATTTTATGCGCGATGCGCAAGGATGAATGTATTCCCAAGAATAATGATTAGTGGTTGCGCCGCAGTTAATTTCCTCTTTGTATTATACCAACTATAAAATTTTCCGGAATTACGCGTAAAATCACATTAACGTTAATTAGAGTGATCATCTCATATTATCATTTCAGGACCAGAAAAATCTTTGACCAACCTATTTAGAATGCTCGTAATGACTACTTAGTCACTTTGCGCTCTATCCGGTTTTAACATTGTTAATTGTAACGCTACTAATATAGCTCATTCTATTTATTATTAATTATGAAGAATAAATATTAATTAACAATTATTAATAATTACGAGTATAATAGCAAAATTAAACCAAATAGTTATAATATTCTTACTGGATCTGCTCGTGCGTTGTATATATTTTCAAAATTAAATAAGCGTTGAAACAAAAAGACGAGGTTTAAAAATTATTCGAGCGCTGGGTCGACATCTGCGATTACATTAATACTAGAGATATTTCAGTCTTCGGTTGATTTATAAATAACCAAATAGTTTTTCCTGTTTCTCGCGCGGACGCTCGAAATAGTTCGTAGAAGTGAGTAGAACAAGTTTTAGCGCGTACGGCATCGTAACAGTTTGGAATTCCTGTCTTTGTCAAAACTATAAATTGACTAATTGACGCGATGGACGCGATCACGAGCCATTCATGATCTTCAGTCTTCACGCGTGCCATCGATATGTTTATGATCGTCATGCACGTTTCCGTGGAGAAAGAAAGAGAAAGAGAGAGAGAGAGAGAGAGAGAGAGAGAGAGAAAGAGAAAGAGAGCGAGAATCGCAACCGATAGCAATTGATCGCGATCAGATCGCGATCACGACGGATGGACGGATCGTTTTCGCGACACCGATCCGCGGCACCGTCGCAAGTGGTGCCCCCTAGCAGCGAGCATTGGTATTAATGGCAGTAGGCCCCGTCGCCCGTCGGACGGTCGGAATCATGTGTTTTCTCAGTATGTTGCGGCCTTTTCTTACGTATGGTCGTATCGCGCGCGAGTGATCCATAGATCGAGTGCGAATCGAGCGAAATCGTGACGAGGAAGGAAGAAAGAAAGTGCGCGCGCGCGCGCTACAGCTACGGAAAATTCTAAGTTGAACCTAACGCCAGGGAGGAAACAAGGCAGTGATTATCGGCGTATTGTTCGTTATATCGTTCGTCCATCCACCGCGATCAGTCAAATCAGTTTCGCCTGGCACTTCGCGTTTTCCCGAAGCCATCGAGAGGTGCCCGCGGTGCGCAGGCGCGGAAGCTAGAAAACGGAAAAGGTGCATTCGCGCTCTCTTTTCCCTTGACCTTTGGGCCCTTCGACCCTCTCCCCTTATCTTTTCGCGCTAGACCGGAGCGTCCATTCACCTCGTCTGTTTGTGCGTGCGCCCGCGCGAGTGTGTCGTCAACGTCAAACGTCAAATCCTTCCTATGGGCTATGTAATGATGTGATTACCGTTTTTCCGTCTTCGTCTTATCGCCACCACCGCAGAAGTTTGGCTGGCTTCGCGGCTTCGAGGCTCTGCGAGGCTCCCCGCCCCCCCGGAGACGGGAAGAGACCGGCCGGTCCGGAAGTTCCTGGGCCCTTCTCACGGGAATCTGACCGGGGATGTTGAAGTGAGTCCCTCTTCCCGGCCACCCCGTTCATCCACGCGGGACCGGATTACCATGCTGGACGCAGCCACGCATCACAGGTAAGGAAATATCGCACGAGCCACCCGTCTTCCCCCCCCCCGTCTTTTTCCCCCGCCGCTTTGCTCTCTCTCGCGCTCGAGCTCCTCGTACTGGTCGTACTGCGCCTTCTCTTTCTCGTCGGATCACGCGAGTCCAAAGACGCTTCTCCGAAGCGGCGCGCGGAGAATCAGCCGCTGCGTATTGTACAAACGCGAGAAAGAGAGAGAGAGAGAAAAGCTCTTCGCGTCCTGGAGCGCGCGCGAGCGCTAAAGATAGTCGCCGATTGTACGACCGCCAGTCGGCGATATGCGGAAATTCTCGCGAGAAATGTTCCCCCACGTGCGTCGCTCGGCGTGCTCCTCGATCGCGTCGACACGCTGGCACGATGTCGCGATCAATACCGTTTCGTCGGATACCTAATTCGACAATCTGGCGAGCGAACGTCCCGCGCCGAGAACGGATCTCCGCACCCGCCCACCTCCCTGCTCGGCGTGGCGCAGCGCGGCATGGCTCGGCGCAGTGTGGTGCGGCGCGACGCGCCGGTAAAATTCTCGCCGCGATAGGCGGTTTTTCGACCCGCTTCGCACGACTCGCGCGAAACGATAAACGGCGCGAACCGCTCCTATTTCAATATCGAAAACGCGTATACTCGATTTATCTTATCGCGCGAGATTCTTTTAATTGGGGCCATTGCGGGAAGAGAAACGGGAAATAAACACCGAAATCTTCCGCGAGAGCGTTCGCGGGGCTCCGGCCGTTATTTAACGTTACTTAGCGACATCCGCTTCTGGCGCGGTTTAAGACGCACAAATATCGCGACGTTATCGCGTGGGTGGGCTACAATATTCGTATTTAGCTCTGTGAACGAGCACCGACGGGGCGGGGAGGGGACGCGAGTACGCGTGCTACGAGCTACATTGTTTATTTATTCTAACGCTTGCACGTGCTTCCGTAACGTTACGATAATATCGCGGAGAGCCGCGCGATAAACCGAGGCTTGGCACCGGAGACCGGAGCACTTACGTAAACATTTGGGACTGCTAAAGGCCTTCACACATAAAATGCCGTAAGTACGTAAAACGTAAGCGTAAGAAAATCGATCAATCCCAATCAAGTATTTTCCCCTACTGGAGTTACGGACAGCGCAATACTTGATTGGGATTGGTCGATTTTCTTACGCTTACGTTTTACGTTCTTACGCGATTTTATGTGTGAAGGCCTTAACGCGCGGACCATGTAAAATTTTTCCTATTTTAGATCTTTCCTTTAATTCGCATAAATTGAATAGCATCATATCTAACAATAAGCCAAATGAAAAGGACGGAGATAGATACGCACGTGTCAACTGTGCAGGCTGCCGCGTGACATTGATGTTGGCAAAAACGCCGCTTCTGAAAAAAAAAACTCGACTCAATGTAAGAGAATAAAAATAGCTAACTATTTAAATGCTAAGGAAAAACTAGGGAAACAACATTATTACTTTTTTAATTGCTTTTGTAATTGTATATGGTATCGAGGTATTTTAATCACATATAATTTTTACACACGTGCAATTTACAATAAAAAAAATATGAAATAAAGCTGCTTCCTCAGTTTTTTCTTAGCGTTTAAATAGCATTGATTTTATTCTGTTATGTCGAGATGAATGTATGTGAGCGATAAATTGAAGCAAGTCATCTGTGTTGAATATTATAAACTTAGAATCGTTTATATATTCATATATATATATATATATATATATATATATATATGTAAATAATTTTGCATTATACATTTATAATGTAGATCACTTGTTTCTATTTGTTACATACAAACAAGGGGTTATCTTATCATATTTTTATTTTGACATTTAAAAGGTGTGTCAAGCGACTTCTTAACATACCAATACTTCGCATTTTTTGTTGCGTACTTCGTCGAAAATGCTTGATTTTTATCTGCTTCGGCAAACATTTTTTTCTTCCTATTGTACTTCTCGCATATCGATTTTGTTCGACGCCAAACCACAGTGTGTTGACAAAACCGAACGGATTACATAATGAATAGAGTAATGATTTGTGAGAGAAAGGGAAAGGGAGACAAGGGCAAGCAAACGCCCAGGCGGACGAACCCAGGCGGTCCTATTCATACTTCGCCAAAAGTTTTGAATACAGCCTAACAACGCGTAATATTGAAGCACGACAATAAGATAATTTATTTACGCGCAGCGTGCGCTGAATAAAAATTAGCGAGTTACATTTGTAACCACAATCAGGAGTTCTATTCTAGTATCGAGATAAGTAAATTCCTTAGATTCACCTTAACTAAGCACTTTTGTTCTTTAAGCATTCAATTTCACTGGACGCTATGAATGTCATCTGCGTATCAAATTGCTTTTTCTTCAACCTCTTATTATAGTCTTGTTAACCTGTATTAAAATAATTAGATGTCGAAATATAAGCTTCCGCACGGAGAGAATATTTTCTTAGAATTTACCCTGAAATTATGGTGGTTGTGGAACAACATGTTACTACGAAGAATTTTATACGAGCTATTCTAATTTATCTACCATAATAAAATATATTAATATATCTATTACATTAAAATATAAAATATGTTTGATTAATTTTACTAAAATATATCTATGAAATTTCAATAACTTTTTAAAAATTACCAATCTGCTTGGTAATTTTTATCACGTTGTTTGTAAAATGTCTTTTGTATATTTCAAAAATTCCTTGGTTGCCAAGTTGTCCTAAGTTTGTAGTGAATTTAACGGTAAAATCTAACGAAAAATTCTCTCTGTGTCAATAGAATAAGCTCGATTTAAAGTTTGTTGTACAGGATGTCGGAAAGAGAGAGAGAGATTATCACGTTCAATATATCCGCGCCCGCGCCCGCGGGCGCGGCGCGACGCGGCGGAGGCTCATTGTCTAATCGCGTGATTCATGTGCGATGCTGAAGCTTATGAGAAGTAATCCGGGCCATCTGTTTAGTTGCAAAAATTAGGTATTGAGAACACGGTCAACATTCCGTCCGATTGAATGGTACTTCGTTGCTCAATCGAACTAATCGTTCTTGATTAAAAGTTACAATGACGGTCGTACGAAAAATGAAGATGCACTTGAATTTTATTTTAATGCCTGTCATATCTCACACATATATTCTCTCACACATATATTCACACATATATCTCACACATATATTCACATATATTCTCTCATCTCTTTACACAGCTAACTTTGATTGTTTACAAATATAAGCTGTCTCCGAGTTCGGGCTATTTTTTTATCCCAATCTTTAGCTCGCAACGTACTTACAATTAGTGTGTAGACGTGTGTGTAGAATAATAGCCCGAAAAACGCATGCGCAAGAATGGTATAAGAACGACCTGAAAAAAAATCTGTAGCCTAACGAGTATCGGAGTATCCGAATATAAGGATAGTGGATGCGGGTGTTTTCAGACACTCTCGACATACGATTCCATTTACACAAATCTTTTGTACGTTCGACGTTTCGCGTGGAGCGATATCTCTCGCCTTGTGAAGTGTCTAGAATCAGTGTGTATGTATATGTGAAGCGCGTGTTGCTTCTCTCCCTCGCTTACGTTTCGAAGTACAGATACCATCGTGCTCTTTGTTGTTCACCGCGCCGAGGGCAAATTCGCCGAGGATCGATATTTCTTAGAAGCTCACACGTGGTCACGGCCGGGCACACACATACAGGTTTGTTATGCTGATCTCCGTGTGTGAATCACAGTCTCGTTTTTCGTAACGAGGGGCAGCGGGAAAGGGATCACCGCGAAACTTCATTAACGTCCGTATGTTTCTCTCGCGAACGCGGCAACGGCAGCGGGCAACTGCTAACTGCTTATGCACGGTCGTTTCACATCGTCGATAAAACGACCGTGCATAAATTTTTCCGTGTATGTTAATAAATTCCTGCACGCGTAACGAACGTCGCAAAAAGGAGGGAAAAAAATAAACGAAAAAAATTAATGAAAGGGTCGAATCGCCCGACGATGTCCGGCGAGTGTCGCGCTTGAAAACAAACTCATTAATACGCGCTGTGCGATAAACGTCGCGTATTGTGTCCCCGCCCGACTACCGATTATAAACGCGCGCGTCTGTTTATTCTCCCACTTTTCCAGCACCATCCTCGCTATTCGCGCGGATTTTATTGATTGAATATTAGCGATGTTCACAAGTTGCGAGGCGATTTTTTTTAATCACGAAGAAATTGACAACTTCCAAGATTTCATTGTAAATAAGATCCGCGCGTAAACAATATAATCGCTCATACACAATGTAATCAATCGTATATACGCAGTCGAAAACAGCGCGACCGACGATCAATACGTTGAGACTTTAGTCGCATCATTTAATGCGTTGCATTTTAAGACTGTATATACTATCGCGTTTATGATAATACTCTCACGCGTTCGGTCTAAACTATTCCTAGATTATTCCATCTTTCGCGCGTTTAAATTATCTGGCTAACGCGAATCATTCCGACAGTGAGATTTATCAAAATTCGCGAATTTTCTTCCTAGAAACGGTCCCGTTCATAATTGCCAGGCACGATGAAAATTCCGGCGAATCGAGAAAACGAACGCGAGTCGAGGAAATCAATTTTGCGCTCGCGACGCGGATCAAAGGTTGCTACGATAAATATTCTCCGCCAGCCACGGCATCAGTCAGACAATAGTTTTCTGTTGCACACTATTTTTAGGCGCCGTGAACGGGCGCCTAATTTGTTTTGCATAAATAGTGATCACCTGGAATGACTTCTACACCCCAATTAAAAGTCACTGTTATCAATTACACATTGCATATATTTTTGATTGTTTTTTAATTTATTAGTATTTAAGGATAATATAGATTTGCTCAACATTTTTTAAAACGTAAACAGAAACTAAAAGGATATTAACCCTAGACAGACTCATTTATTTTTCTTATACGTGAATGACTCACTGGGGTGTCACTTCGGGTGTCACGATACCCCAAACGATTTTCTTTTTCGGTCACAGCTGCTACACGGATCTAACGCACTCGCTGAAACACAGAGGTCCATTGCCGGATGACTAAACTGAATTATGGTTAGGGTCTCGGTATGAAAAATAACCTTCCTAAGGCAGGGGCTCAATTTGAATTTCGCGTGGAGTGGAGTCCCGTAACACTCCAGTGAGTCTGTCTAGGGTAAAAAACGAAAGTGGCACGCGTTAAATGGACTGCAACGCGAGCTTTCATTTTTCGATACCGGGGTGTAAAAATCACCCCAGGCACTCGTTCACGGATGAACGAACTGGTCTCGAGAGGGGAATGTACCGACATATTGTGCCGGAGGGTTGCTTTACCAGTTCATCGAATCGCCACTGATTGTTGTTTTATATTTGATAAATACCTGTCTCGTATTCGTACTTTATTTGCACACGCCGCGATGACGTTCCTCGTCAGCGATTTCGGCATGATGCGAAATGTGACAGCGTGAAAAACAACATAAACGAGAGGAGGATACGTGCTTTAGAGAGGTGTGAAATTCAGTCGTGATAAGTATTCCATGTCTTTCGTAACACTTCGCGACAGTATAGCGGCCACACACAAAGATTTCTTGAATAATATAGACTTAAATATAGGCCAGTTAAGACGCATATTCAAATCTTTTTGATTTCGTTTGAAATGAAGACATAGACAAAGATTCATTCAATTCAAATATGCACAGCATGAATGTATGAGAAATTATTTTATTGATTGAATGCTGGCGATGTTCAAGTTGCGAGGTGATTTTTGAATCACGAAGATATTAGTGCAACTTCTAAGATTTTAGTATAAATAAGATTCACGTAAACACAATATAATCGCTCATACACAATTAATCAGTCATACGGAGACGAAAACAGCGCAACCGGCGATCAATCTCACCGAGCGTGACGCACGGCCGAGAAAAAAAAACGTGCTTTCTAATTAATCAATCAAGTTAAGTGGTTAACGGCCATAATTAACCGCATGCGTAGCTCGAACGTTGAAATTACCCGATTAACCTGTGTTCCCAGCCACCAACGAAGTTGGAATCCGCTGCGCTGGTGTGCTCATTCAGAGTCGAATTACGCTACTCCGTGCTTAAGCTCTCTAGATCCGTTTCTCCCAGTCAACGTGAAATTTCAGTCGGAATAAAATCACGCGTTTTGGACTTAGAAATAAAAGAAATTTCGCAGGAAAAGAAAGATTATTACAACTTCTCTCTTTTTCATGAGTTTCTACTTCAGTGAAAAATTAAATATTTGCATATGCGTGGGGTTGCATATCATTGCAAGTATGAATGCATTCGGCACCCGAAGTATCGGAGAAATTTAGCGAACATATTCCGACCCTTAATTAATACACAAATATTTGCGTGAGGCGGATTAAATCGTGTGCATACAGTAACATTAACCTGTCAATATCCGCATATATACTTGTCCTGCGGTATGCAGGATAAGTATATTTGCTTCGATTACCGTATATCGGGATTTGTCGGAATTTAATAAAGCGATCACAAATTACGCGTGATTATAATATGTTACTAGAATATTACTGCGAGCATACAATTGTGAAGGGGTTTTAATTTGTTTAGCGCGTAATGTTCATCGATTTTTTAAGTACGCGCGTGACCCGAATGGAATGGATACGCAGATTTGCGTGGACAGCCGAAAGAATTCGTAGAAGTGATTTTTTTCCCTCTTTTTTTAGTATTATGTACGCGCACATGTTGGAATGCTTGGACTGCGCGTTGAAAGGCGGGCGCCAGCTTTGAAGACGAAATTTATTCACGGAACGTAGCGCACGTATGTGGAATGGACAAATATGTTTTTATTCCCTTAACCGCGTCGCGGGGTGCTAAAGTATATCAGTAGCGAGGCATTTTCAAATGTGCTACGGAAAAAAGGAGGAAAGAAAAGGAATAAGATTTTGTCACTGTTAAACGGTATCGTACGTTGCGCATTACGAGACAATCAAGCGTTAGTATATTCGCGTTCGATATTTCCGCGATACGCATACGACATCGCAACGGCACGCGTGTTTGCGCCGCTACGTGCACGCGTGCCGAAACAACGGTTTGGGACTTGGAATGAAAGGATCATCATGAGCCGAGACACAACCGTATTCGTAATCATGCTCACGGTAAGTACATCGTCGTTAAGTGCTCGTGAGTGGCACTCGTTACTTAATTCTTATATGGCATTCTCATCAGTCATTATTCAACCGCCCTTACGATTACGCATTGCGGTGACTTTGAACCTACAAATTATCGTGCAAGGTGCAAAAGTGCTTCTTTTTTACGCGTTTCTTTATTCGCAAAATGTGGCGAGTTATTCGTCCAATTCTTATATAACTGGAAAGGTTTGTTCATCACCCATATCACGCATTAATTTATTTGATGGCAACATAGAAAAATTATGCAAATAAAATCTCATTCAAACTCTTTTTTCAGCGTATTATTCGAAAACGTTAAGTGCGTGGTAAAATTTTCGACATTTGTACGATCTTAATCGTTCCGACGGGGCGCATTCGCAACGGATGGCCGGAACAGTAGATAGATGCAAATAAGACCAATCTATTGACCGATCAAAACATCCTATTTTGATCCCGTCACAAGTAATGTATAAAATGGGATGCGTTGATTGGTTAACTTCTGATGACATGCTCAGTGAAAACTCAGTCTCATTTGCAACAGTAGATAGATGCAAATAAGACTGAGTTTCCACTGAGCACGTCATCAGAAGTCAACCAATCAACACATCCCATTTTATTACATTACTTGTGACGGGATCAAAATGGGATCTTTTATCGGTCAATGGATTGGTCTTATTTGCATCTATCTACTGTTCCGGCCATCCGTTGCGAGTGCGCCCCGTCGGAACGATTAAGATCGTACAAATGTCGAAAATTTTACCACGCACTTAACGTTTTCGAAGAAACGAATAATCCGCTGAAAAAAGAGTTCGAATGAGATTTTATTTGCATAATTTTTCTATGTTGCCATCAAATAAATTAATGCGTGATATGGGTGATTAACAAACCTTTCCAATTATATAGGAATTGGACGAATAACTCGCCACATTTTGCGAATAAAGAAACGCGTAAAAAAGAAGCACTTTTGCACCTTGCACGATAATTTGTAGGTTCAAAGTTACTGCAATGCGTAATCGTAAGGGTGATTGAATAATGACTGATGAGAATGCCATATAAGAATTAAGTAACGAGTGCCACTCACGCACACTTGACGACGATGTACTTACCGTGAGCATAATTACGAATAGGGTTGTGTCTCGACTGATCATGATGTTCTTCCTTTCATTCAGGCCACGATTAAAGAGCTGAAGATGTGTTTTAACTCCTCTCGTCTCTCTGCAAAGCGGAGCGACTTCTGAATATACCAGATGTAGGTGTCGTGTACACATATATAGAGTACAATTGAGAAAAGTTACTGAAGTTAAATATTTATGATTTAAGTTTATAATTTAGTTTATAAATTATAGAGCTTATATCCTTTTGCACTGTGTGCGTATAAAAATTATGAATTTCTTCTACGGTATAATGTTTAAATTTATTTCATCTTCGTTAAGTAAGGCTCTGTTGGAAATCCAATCGGAAGGAAAACGGACTAATTAAAAGCCATCCGCGGTTCACAATGCGAAAGTATATTTATTCTGTATTTAATGTTCGAACGTTTCGGTCCCTTATTTGGACCATCTTCAGCATCTAACGAAGAACACAATTATAAACATACATGAGTTCGCAATTTAGTTTCTTACAGCAAACTTACTTACAAAATTTATGATAAAATTAAGTGACAAACGGTGACCATCTCACGAAAGACGAGGATTATATATAGCCTCCTCTGGGTTCCCGTCACAAAGGATGGAGATATCGTCTAATCGTTCTA